CCATTTACCAAGTCTTAACAATAAACAGTTGTAAGTAATTATGCCCTAATAAAATAAGTATTCTTTTTTTTTTTAGAATGATGACTTGAAAGTTGATTTCATACATGATAATCACCACACATTCGCAGATCCGGTCCAACAGCATTTAAATAGAGCCTTTGTTAAAAAAAAAAATTCAAACTCTCTTGGGACTTTCTTTGACATCTGAATATTTAGGACTTGTAAAATTCCTTCCCTGACTTTGCACAAGCCGTAATTTATGCCATTATTCTTTGTAAATCCCCCTCAACATGCTTACTGTTTTTTTTTTTTTTTTCACATGCAAACTATCATCTGTTATTTTTGCATCTTAATGAATGAAGGCCAGGTCTACAATCAGAGTGAGCAATCTTAACATGAAAAATGCAAAGAAATCGCTGAAGTGAGCTCTACTTTAATGCTGATTATATGTTTTATTAGTTTAACTGAACTGACTCTGTTTCTGAGAATTAATATCCAGTACTCTGTGTGACTACACACTCTCTCTATCTCTCTTTATTCTCTCTCTCTGTTAGATGTGGACGAGTGCGCTGAAGGTCTGAGCTCCTGTGGGAGTCACTCTCACTGTGTGAATTTGCCTGGAAGTCACAGCTGCCAGTGCCAGAGCGGCTTTGAGTATGCACATGACAGTCGCACCTGTATTGGTAAGTATGCTTGTTTGTCCAACACACACTTCAATACAAACTGACTCTATAGACTGTTAGTACCAGAAAATGGCAAGTGTGCTTTTTTCCATTGGTCATTTCTCTAGTACCAAATGTTCCAGCTGTATGGCTTTTGCTACTGGCTCAAAATTGGGAAATTGAGAATTGGGAATTAATGGTTGGGAGCACAGCTAGAAGTCAAATATACAGGCATGTAGCCTCTATTAGAAAACATTGAGGGAAAGCGGTGGCTCAATGATTAAGACTCTGAAATAGTGACAGAATGTTGTAAGTGCAAATTCCTGAACTGCAAGAGAGCCAGTGCTGGGCTGTTGCTCAAGGATAAAATTCTGCCAAATGAGTAAGTGACAAAAATAGAAAACCATGGAAGAATTATCAACAACATCTAAATTCAACCAATATACACTAGTTGACCAAATTAGGCAAAATTAATCTAATCACCTCTGATGTTAGATTCTGTTTGGTGTTGTGTTTTTCGTTTGTTAATGTGTTTTGCACTTATAGGCCACCGTCCGTCTCCCATGTTAGACATTACAATGAGGAAAACACATAACCCACTAATGATATTGCTTTTGCTGTCACTACAACTTCTTCCACTAGTGAAAAATCACCTAGAACTCGGACCCTGAGTTTCATTGGCTCCAATCTGGGCCAGCTATTTTTTTTTTTTGAAAAGGCACAACCGACATACGTGTACAGTCCCAGTGTGCTCCAGGTAACTGGAAATAATCAGGTCTTGTCATATGTAATCAAGGCCTTATTTGCTTTCAGGGTTTCTAAAACCTTTTCAACATAATGTTTAGAAAGAAATGATTTATGTTCAGTGTATGATTTGATTGTCAGCTATAAAGTAAAACCAGCCACTTTTTCCTGTACATCCATCTGGGTTTTAAATATATGGGTAATCAGTGCTGTGATATTAAGAGTTGTTGGACTAATAGATGTGTCAGCATCACACATGTGGAAGTCAGTGTGAGGTGTATGTTCTCAGAAAGGGGTAGTGTGTTACAGATGTTTGGTGTTGATTCAGACACTCATTTTCTGGACAAAAGCCCAATGCAGAGAAGCAGAGAATGAAGGTCTGTAGGTGAAAGGGGCCGAGGTGTAGCTTGAGGCAAGGGGACCAGAAGAAGGGGGAAGGGTACTTTTGAAACAATGGTCTAATGTGCTGGTCAGGGGAATGTGTGTAGGAGACTCCCAGCTGAAGAATATGTTAACTCTTGACTGGAAACTTTCCTCAGGCAAAGAAAATGGCCTGAACAACTTCTTTTTAATTAACATGTGATTTGCATAATGGATTTATTCTGTAATGAAATTCCAAGTTGATTTTTTTTATATTTTAACCTTCTTTCATTCACAGGCTGGTCTATTTTCACTTTGCTTAACGGTTTCCTACATTACCCACAATGCCATTCTACGTGCTGATAGTGGTGAAAAGTGGGATTTAACCCTCGAGTCATCTCTCACTAAAGTCGCTGATGCAGTAGTGCTTTGGGTTCATTAGTCTATCCTGCTCCCTCACTTCATCTGTACACTCTGATCAAACGTCTAAAACTTCAACTTTCATGCTAATACCTCCATCAACTCCATTGGACTTGCCATCTCATAGATCACTAACTAACTCATAAATAATGCGTTCCATACTGGGCTACTCATCAAGAAATTAATTATTGGCACAATTTTTTAACTGTTCCAAATTCCAGACATTTCTCTTGTCCTTCTTCTTCTTGGCCGATTTTAGCCTTTTTTCATGTCGGAGCCTAACGATGCTAGTAATTAAATGACCGACTTCCAAAGGTAGCAGTATATTGTAGTATAGAAATGCCATAAAAGCTTACTCTCAGTATTTGTGGTAATTTTCACGCATGAGCTCTCCTCTCGCGGGAATAATATTAGGACACATCCTGATCAATTACTTGGATTTAAACTCTTACTAGCGCTCAGATTTAACCACTTCATGATTAATTACCACTGCATTCCTATATAAAAGTGTATGTGTGAAAGGGGCTATAGTTAGATAAGTGTATGCTGTTGTGGCTTGCATACGAGGTGTGTTTTGCTTTCTGATTGCAGATGTTGATGAGTGCCGAAGACATCCATGCCACCCTCATGCTTCCTGCACCAACACCGTGGGTTCCTTCCACTGCCGATGCCAGCCTGGATTCCACGGCGATGGCTTCCAATGTCACCGTCAGCATGGTCTATGTTTAAACGTCTATTACTTTTGACTTGTTATGGTTTTTAAACATGCCAACTATGATATCAACTCAGTACGCTCTTCCAAAATAATTACATAAGCCATAACAGTCATTTTGAAGCTTGCTAATCACTAGGACTAAACTGGTATACAAGAGATATAGTGCCACAAGTGTTTGTGATGTTTCATAGGTGTCTAGATCTGTCTTAGATCCGTGTGTTTTCTGTCATTGCACTCAGTAGAGGAAGAGCGTCCCAAAACTCCATGTGAGCATCACAGAGACAGCGCACAGACTGGAGTAGACGGTTTACATGTGCTGGGAGCATTCGTCCCTCAGTGTGATGAGGAGGGTCGCTACAGGTCTCAACAGTGCCATGGCTCTACAGGATACTGCTGGTGCGTGGACAGTAGGGGGCAGGAGAGCTTGGGAACCCGCACCCCACCTGGTACCCCACCTGCCAACTGTGACGCTCCGGGTAAGCGTGCCAGATACATGACTCCTTCTCATAGAAGAGTTCCTGCTATATCCTTGCAACATGTTTACCTCTATCTTTAAAAATATTTGAGCCATAGTGGAATTTTTATGCTAATATTTGCCTTGCCCATTAAGGAAGTACATTTTTCTTTGTGAGAGCCTTGGTCTGAAGGGACAAGGACTGAACCTTGTGATACGCCACTGTCTGTCATGGCAAAAAGCTTATTCAGTGGCATAAACAAAATTCCCTGTACCAGTAATATAACTGCTTAGATTCAATCCTAATCTCAGGTTACTGATTTTCACATGGTCTTACTGTGTCCATGTGGGTCTCCTCTGGGTTCTTTGGTTTCCTCCAACCTCGAAACACACGCCAATAGATGGATTGGGGACTCTAAATTGTGTGTGTGTGTGTGTGTGTGTGTGTGTATAGTGCCCAGTGATGGACTGGTGTTCCATCCTAGGTGTATTCCTGTGCCCCCGGAATAGGCTCCGGATCCACCATGACCCTGACCCATATAAAGCAGTTACTGAAAAGGAATGAATGAATAAAGCCAGTCCAACAACCATTTCCATGTTTCTGTTTTAACATCCATTGATAAAAATATTGTTTGACCTAGCCTGGAGTGAAGTATTTAACGCCACCACACTGGACAAAGATGGGATTTTATGATTCTCTGTGCTGCTGCAGGCCCATTTTGAGGCCCATTTGGAGGCCCATTTTAGACCTTATATGTTGTTTACAAGATGGTTAGTCCTGTTGCTTGTAGATTTATTAAACCTCTGAATGAAGAACATCTTTATAGATTTATTAAACACTACTTTGTAGCACATTCCCTTTAAACGTCTCTTGATCCATTATCTGTCAAGATACAAGGAAGACATGCATCAAGACTCTTCTCTGTCATGGCACGCAAGAGGTGGAATGTACTTCCCCTGGAAGTCTGAACAGCAGAGTCACTGGCTGTCTGAAGAGCTACCTCTTCAATAAGCACTTAAGAGCACTTAAAAAAACTTGGCTTGTTAGTTTCTGTTGCTATACTAACATGTTATACTAACTCCTCTCTAACAGCATGATAGCATTCTTAGACCCGGAACTAGGGTATATGTACTAGCAAGAAGATGTTTTTTTTTAATGGAGACTGCAAAGCACTTTGCTGTACGTTGCTCTGGATGTAAAAGAAAACGTAAATATATTATACATTTTTTCAGCAATGATACTAATGTATCAGTAGTATTCGGATATTCCTGTTTATGTGACTCTCTAAACAAACCCACAAGTTGTTGCCTTTTTGAAGAATCACCATTGCGATAAGATTATCTGTCTCAGAGGGGCGGTAATTGCTCCATTTACTGTAACGTACTACATCGACAACTTCCAGATGTTTAAACTCTGTAGGTCCTTTTTAAATGTAGACAGGGGAGGTTGAAACAGTCACTGACCCAATCTTAGCTCATGTAGCTGTCAGATTGTGATGAGATCCACCTTACCAGCTGAGCAGACAGAAATCGAGCCTCTCCCACTGTGTGTCAGCTTTTGCCTTTTGGTCTTAGGCACAGAAATAATTAAATAAAATATAATACAGTTGCTTTATTCCAGCACTTTAGGATGTTCTCTACTGGGTCTCTGGAGGACTAGTGGTTAGGCCACACTAGCGCTCTCACTGCGGTGGCCCAGGTTCGATTCCCGGCCAGGGAACCAACTCGTGTGCAACAGTGCGCTCTCACTGCCGGTCCCAAGCCCAGATAAAATTGGGGAGGGTCACATCAGGAAGGGCATCCGGTGTAAAAAACTGTGCCAAATCAAATACGCGGACCAATGATCTGCTGTGGTGACCCCAAACGGGAGCATCCCAAAGAGGAACAACAACATTCGGATGTTCTCTGTCATTGTACTTACGTTCATTGTGGATAATTCTAATCTAATATCCTTTACTCTTCTACTCTTTCTTGGTTCATTCAGAACGTCCTAAGACTGAGTGTGAACAGCACAGAGACAGGGTGCAGGATGGAGCAGTGCTGGGAGCCTTCATGCCTGAGTGTGATGAGGAGGGTCACTACAGGTCTCAGCAGTGCCATAGCTCTACAGGACACTGCTGGTGTGTGGACAGTAGGGGGCAGGAGAGAGCAGGCACCCGTACGCCACCTGGTGCCCCATCTACCAACTGTGACGCTCCAGGTAAGCACATCATTTTTTTAAAATCTCTTATCTAGTTTGAGTAATTGCCACAAGGTGGTAGAGGCATTATATATTTCACGGGTTGTTTGTGCACCTATCCATTCGCCCTTCCTTCACTCACTCTGCGATAACATATTAGCACAAGAACATTAATGTAAACTGTCTTAGCTCTGCTGACCAATCAGAATTAAGAATTCTGAAGAACAGTGCTGTGGTTAAAAAAAAAGAGCCATCCACGTCACTATTATGTTTCAGCTCCTGTCACACCGGTAGCACCATTCTGAGACATACTGTAGCCCTGAAAGTTAGTCATATTTTAATTTTTCCAATTAGGCTCCTCTAATTTGAATGATTGCTTTAATGTCTGGGTTATAAGGGTAAAATTGAGACCATCCCTGTCTCAAAGTCAATCTTTAGCTCTTGGCCAACAGTCAAAGGTATTTTGTAGCGCAGTCTTGACAGCCTGTTATACTCACATTTCCTAATTACCTACTTGAGTAATTGCTTCAATACAGTATGGAGCTGATTAAAAGGATTCAACCCCATGCTCTATTTGAAGAGATTATATGGTAGCAAGTGAAGACACTTAGTAACATGGTCAGGCTTGGCAGGTCACTGTGTACTTTTCTCACCACAGTCAGAAATGTCTTCTTATTTTAGCCTTCCACATTCACGACCACAGCCAAAAAAAGTAGGATTCCAAATATTCAGTTAATGTCCGTAACATTGATTAATAGTTAAAACAAAGCACGAATCTATCTTCAGCGCTGATTTTATGTTTATGTTTCTAGAGTGTCCTTTACAATAATAACAGTATCTATGCCATAAATCATAAATGGTGAAGTATCCTTCCAGCAGAAGACATTTTCAGACTTCTTCAAATTTCACAAATGGCTCCAATATTTTAACTATTCTGCCATTGCTAGAATAGTTGGATGTTTTGAATATTCTGACTAATCGATGTGTATTATAATTGAACAGTAAAAAAAGCCTTTAAAAATTAATTGGTTTAAGCTTCTAAATAAAAAAAGACTCTGAACTTTTTGAAATTGTTAGCTTTCAAAGAAATAAGAAGTTTCTCAAAAGAAGGAAGTAGCTGTATTGTGTCGCTTTCCAAATAGGACTGCCTGTGCATGGTGGTGCTTAAAATAACAATATGTCATACAGTCATGCTTTATCAGTGACACAGTGGTGAGGTAGTACCTGTGCCATTTAGTCATGCCAATAAAAGTAAAAAGGAATCCCACCAGAAACCCTAAAGCATATAACAATTTCCAAAACAATCAGTCAGATCTTGTATGGCTATCTTTACCCTGGAGAAGCAGCTCTAAGCTTAGTAGCATAAACTCTGTGATAGAAGTTAATGCCTTAAGTGCAAGAGACTCTGTCAGGTGTCTTACAATGTCTCATCACTCTTCACTTACATACAATGTGCAGAGGAAGTTGAAACATTACGATAGCAGAACAAAACTCAAATCTAGACCAAAGATATTCTTTGCTTGAACAATGTTTGTACAAAACTTACTTTGAGTTTCAAGGATATCAAGTATAGCCTTCAAGTATTGTGAAGCGTTCACCAAATAAGCCCATGTGAATGGGGTGTTACTATAGAAACGATAATGAGAATTAAACAGCACTGTGGCATAAGGTCTCTAAACACTTAGTCACAGAAAGTGCCTATAAATACTGAGTCCCAATAGAAGGCATGCAAGCCTCTTAGATAAACTTTGTCAAAATAGCAACAAAGTCAAGTGAGAACACCAGAAAAAGAGTAAAAAATAACAGTGTTGTTCCCTGTGTGTCTAAGAAACCCTGGGGGATTCTCAACAAACATCACATTCCTGTGTGTTTTCAGACCCAGTAGCACACTATGGCGAAATATGCTACAACTAGAAGACCATACACCAAAAGACAAATGAAACAACATGATATATGCGGTCCATACACATTCCATTAAGGGTTTCATAGCTGGATTGATTAGTGAGACCAACAGCTTCATGGGCTAAAGTAGAAAGTTTAATTCCTTTTATCAAGTCTCAGCAGTCTGTCTCCTTCTAAAGGATTACATAAAGACAAGGGCAAGACATACATGCTACATTACGCTAGTGCACCACATCTGCAGAACCTCCATATGTCTCTTCTTTGTAGGTCCTTTTTCACCCTTTGAAAGGCAGAACGTGGTGGGGGAACAGGCCAGAGGTTACAGAGGGTGGAATTACTCCATATGTTAGACTTACATTACTGTCATACTGTGATGAGATCCATCACACTCAAAGAAGCCCAGATCTTTCCCACAACACGGATGGTTTGGCGAGGCCAAAAAGCTTTGGCTACAAATGAATCAGAATGCTTGTCCACTTTTGCTGCTTTCTGGGTTTTAGCTGTTTCAGAGGCACACATGCCTGGGCTGGTAAACATCATGTAAACTGCATGCTGGAGCAGAGATTGTTTTGAGCAGAGACCGAGCAATGCATGAAATATTAATGGTGCAGAGTTTATCCCTCAATATGGTGTCTGAATTATGGCAAGTCCTACACTGAATCTTGCACTGATGATAGAGCTTTGCTGTCCCTGCGATAGTCCTGACCAGTTTTGGACTTATGTTATAAAAGTTCTCATAACAGACACATTATCTCCTTTGCAAAAGTTGCAACCAAATCTCATAACTAATCTGCCAATCTGATGAAAGATGAGAATGCAGAGAAGACATTGTTTACTGTGGATTAGTTATATGGACACATCTTGCTATTCCGTAACACATTAGGGGTGTAATGCAGTAATGCTATCAGCTGCATTTAGTGCTCCAAATATCCGTATCTGTATCTTTATTCAGATTTAAATCCAAAGTGGGTGTGGAAAACACTTGTGGAAAAAAATGTAAAGGTAGAAATGGCAGCACTGGCAGCATGGTCTGTGGATTTTAGCTCTGATCGATCCTCAACCTAAGCTACAACACTCAAGTCCATAACTGGTCTCAACTAGACATGTGCTGGACTGTTTTTTTTAATCCTTATTATGTCATTATTATTTTTGTTTGTTCTGGCCCACAATATTTAAAAAAAATCTAGTTGGTTCTATTTCACAAAACAAACAACTAGTAGCTTAATTTAACCACAGCAACTCTGACCAGGCAGGTACTAAGGATGAATGAATGAACACCCTTCATATCTGAATACTTGCTTATGCCTGCATGAAAATAAAAACCTCCAGGTTACAAGAATTTTTTTGTTGTATCTCATGGAATTCCAGTCCTATGCACATGTCTAATCTTAAGCAAATGCCATATTAACCTTGCTAGCAAGCTTTCTGGCAAAAAAAAATAATAAAAAAAATAGTGCACCACCTATTCATATCTGTATTTGTATCTGTTTAGAACACTTTATCTGTTCATTCCATATCATATTTGGTTACATCCCTATAACATAATCTAGTTAAAGGCAGCGTGCTGACATCTTTCATTTCAGTTAGGCCCTGACCAGAACAAATATTTGTGAATTGGAATGAAAATAAACCCTAAAAGGCAGATTAGTTCAACTTCAAGGGCACTAGCTACTGAGTCACAGGGGAATCCTAAATCTTAAATCCTAAATCTGTTGAGAAACGTGCAACCTGAAAAAAATTTGGGGTTTTTTGGTATTGGCCAAAGACTGCAAATTATTTGCACTGTTTTTGTAGGATTTTAACAGTTAAAATGACAAAACGTCAAATCTCATCTTGTAGATTTGTTTCGGGGATATGGGGCTCTGCCCATTCAAGTAGATCAGAGCCTAGTCCTAAAAATAACAGCCTGGGAGTGTTGCCAAGAGCCACTGAGTAGACAGACTTTAGTATAAGGACTTTAGGTGAATCATAAGGCCATATTTAACATTCTAAATATATAAATCTAAATAATTCCACATGCTTGGCGCACCCAACTGCAGGCTCTGATTAGATCTACCTCATGTATAAACATTAACAACACCATGGTGGATTCTCAAGAACCTGCTTTAATATTTGACTACCAAAAACAGCTTTCATTTCTTGGGCGTCTTTGTTTCAGTGGTGCTTTGTAAGACAAAGATGATGGGATGAACAATGTAGGCACTTATTGTTCTTATGGTAATGCATGAATCTAATCTCACTTTTCTCCTTTTTTTATTTCCGTCTTTCTCTCATGCCACTGTTCATGCAGAGCATCCTAAGACTCAGTGTGAGCAGCATAGACATAGCGCACAGGGTGGAGCAGAAGGTGTGCCTCTGGTGGGAGCCTTCATCCCTGAGTGTGACGAGGAGGGTCGCTACAGACCTCAGCAGTGCCATGGCTCTACAGGACACTGCTGGTGTGTGGACAGTAGTGGGCAGGAGAGAGCAGGCACCCGTACCCCACCTGGTACTCCACCTACCAACTGTGATGCTCCAGGTAAACACATCAGTTCAGCAGAATTAATATTCAGTGCAGATACTGACTCTTGAAGCCAGTCGTAGGTTTTGGGTGTGGCGTTAGGATTTGTCCATTTTTCTAACAGTTTATTCAGGTGCTG